TGCTTTTCTTTTAATGGTTTTTATGTGGAAACATTGAATCCTTTGAAGGCCCAGGGACAAAGTCACCTAACAGCTGTGCCTCAGCTTCTTGGCCAGCCTCACAAAGACATGGGAGCACTCAGACCTTCCCAATACTATCTCCTGAAAGTCAGACACTGGACAGATCTGCTGTCACAGGCTTCATGGCCTTTCCTCTACTTGGTTGTACACTGTCCTCACCCATTGTTGATATTGTCCTGTTTCATGTTGTGTATTTTATGTTCTTCGGCAGGAGTTAACTAAGACATCCTGAAAGCATCCTGTCTTCAGTCCTCTCCCCTCCTAGGCTTCCTAAGTCAATGGGTTTTTCTCCAAGCCACACACATAAATCATCTAAATTGAAACACTCAGGACACCAACAGCTGGCACCTGAGATCCAGTTACCGGGTCAGTGGGCAGTTTTCAGCTCTCCAGTGACTCAGCTGAGCAGCCAGCGTTGCAAACTACAGGTCTTGATGAGCCCTTGACATTTCCCCAAACTTCTACACTCTCCTCTGGCTAATCACAAAAGCAAAGTGACATGAATGTATGAAAGAGAATCATAAATATAAACACATGGAAAAATTAAAATTAAATAAATGATATTTATAAGTATTACTAATTTATCTATTTGAAATAAATAAATAAAATTAAACAAATAAAAAATTAAATAAATAAAAATTATAATACCACTTTTAAAACCAAATTGCAGACCATCATAACCCCTATACCATCATCACCTCAAAGCCAGAAGTTTGGTCTCAGCTCCTACTGAACACAAAGTAGTTAGGGCCAAGTTTCCTATCCCATGTCTCTTCTTCAGGCTCCTTCTTAGGCTTAGATGACCACACAGCTGTAGATTACCATTTTCCTTCCCTTCCTTTCTAGAAAACTATTATAATCTCCAATATAAGATGCTGTGTAAATAATCTACTCTTTGCCTACTGCCCCAAACCCAAACCAAGCTAGCTACCCTAGAACCATGCTGCTGAAGCAAATCTGGTATTCACAGCCTGTACTAGGTAGCAGGTATAAATCTTTAGTATATTAAAGTGCTGTTTTCCAAGAGTGGGACTCCTCCCAAACAGATGTGCTCCTGGGTCCCTTTTCATCCAGCCCTGTTAGACTCTCTGTCCATTTCTCCAGTCTCACTCCTTTCCACCCTCCTCCTTCCCTTGATGGCAGACAGACTGAATCTTTAGTCCTGGGGACACAGCTTCCTCTCTGAATACTCCAGCTTCCCCCAGTGCAGGGGTGTCTCTTCATGGTAGATTTCTTTCAGGAGACATTCCCTTGGCTACACATGCCTTTGGTTTCATCTCTAATATCACTCTTTCCTAGGGCCGGTCCTGAGAATGGGCTAAAGCTGTTCCCTCTGACACAGAGATTCCCTGCAGCGCTGTCACTCAGCAGACAGTTGTAGCAGCCACAACTACAGGGTGTGACTGGTTCCCAAGGGGGAGACTAGATTCTAAGGTCTCTGCTCATCCCTCATGCCAGTTTCCTAGTCCCAAATGTCATGATTGGGAAGCTAAGTGTTGTCTTGACATCGTCTTCTCGGAATGAATCAGCAGGTTAATGGACCAAAATTGATGTCCTTTTCCATCTATTCCCTCCTGTCCTGCAGCTTCTCAGGAACTAGACTTCATCTAGGACCCTAGCCCCAGCCCTGGGAAGGATACCTAGTGCCTGATTAAATCATGGAAAATATTAACACAATATACCCATGTCCTGTGAGCCTACACATAGTAAGGTGGAGATGTCTGGACCAAAGGAATTGGTGAGCTTGAAAAAATAAATGTGAAGTCAGTTTTTCAAAGTGAAGAAACAGTTTCTGTTAGTGAAAAGTGCACATGGCTGAAGTCAGACAACCACTCAATAGCCCATCTTCATTCCTCTCCTATTTATGAACACAGCTCTCAGAGAAGGACTGCTTCATAAGATGTGTCAAGTTTCATAAAGTTTAAATGTACAGTCAAGATGGGCATGCCACCACATAGTTTTAATCCCAGAGCTCAGAATTTAAAGTCAAGAGAATCTCTGAGACATTGAGACCAGCCTGGTCTACATAGGGAGTTCAAGGCAACCTGGGGCTATACAGTGAGACCATATCTCAAAAAAAAAGTATAATTGTTAAGTTATTAACAACTCCACAGCAGATTATAGGTAACAAACTCATTGGTCTATTGAAATTTAAGGATTAAAAGAAAATTCAGTAAAATCAACAAGACTGATACTTTAATGGGATTATTAACAAAATTCATCTTGGATATTTCTCTCAGTCCTCTCAACTGACGATTTTTTTTTATAGTATAAACAAAACCACAAATACCAACTATATCAAAAGGAAACATGATTATTTAAAGATGTATCAGACACATACAAAGTAGATTCCTGGTTGTAAAAATATAAAAATCATTGCCTCAGCTCTAACTCAACATCTACAACATCTACTAGGGTTGTGATGCGCATTCTGGAATGGTTTCCACTGCTGAAAGACTTCTCACCAATCACCTCTCATCAATGACCACTGTCCACCAAGGTAAGTGTGGACATGATAACAGCAAACAGACATGGAGATAACCCTATTGTTACTCCTGACAGTTAGCATTGGAGCCCATATATATGACCTGTTTTCCACTGAGTCCCACGTGCTGTCACAGAATGTCACCATTCACCATGATCCTAAGTTCAAGCAAGATTTGGAAATGCTAGGTGGGACAGCCAGACATATTTCCAGACCCCTTCATGTCTATCAGGTATCTCTAGGAAGACTGAAGAGCAGAGCAGATATCACAATCTCAGAGCCCTGCAGTCACCAGGCAGGAATCAGGAAGGAGACAGGAGAATGCAGGGGTGGATGGCCCCATCTAGTGGCCTCATCCCTCTAGAACCCAGGCTGATCTTGACAAATCTTTCTAGAAAAGCTACAAATCTAGGCTGTCATTGCAAAAGGTCTGTTTTGATGTGTGGTTGCCTCAGATTTAAGAAAATTAAGAAATTAAGAAACAACACTGTATACCAAAGAAATCCGGTCTCAAACAACCAAAACATAAAGTGTAGAAAAAGAAAAAAGAATAAATCACTGTAGTTTAAACATAATCATTTTTAGAGCAGACAAAAGAGAAGTTCCATTTGGCAAACCCAGAATGCAACTTCCCACCATCTGTGCTCCTCAAGAAAGCCCCAATCAGACACATATTTATTTCCTAGAACTCTGTGGAACAGCAGTGGACTGTGGACTGAGATCCAGCATCCTGCTCTCCTATGGGCTGAGTGTCTCTAACTGGAGTCATGACTTACTCACACTGAAAGAGAAATTAATACCCTCTTGAAAATCTGCTCTTCTCAACAACCAAACTGGAGACAAATACACCAATAAACCAACACAACAGACTTTGTAACTCTAGCAAAACCAAATATTTCCTTGATTGTGACAAACTGATCCACTATGAAAAATGCTTTGTCTTTCTGAAATAAATTTAAATCTGAAGAAAACTATAAATTTAGAACTCTGAACGAAGCCAGTGAAAGTCCCAAATTCAGTCAACTCCTGGAATAGGACTTCTCTCATCCAGAGAGCCTGTGTCCTGCTCCCCACTTTCCCTCAATGACCCCACTGATCTCTCATCAATGACCACTGTCCACCAAGGTAAGTGTGGACATGATAACAGCAAACAAACATGGAGGTTACTCTATTGTTACCACTGATAGTATTGAAGCCCATATAAATGACTTGCTTTCCAATGAGTGCCACATGCTGTCACAGAATGTCACTAGTCACCATGCTCCTGAGTTCAAACAAGATTGGAAATGCTAGGTGGGACAGCCAGACAGATTTCCAGACCCCTTCATGTCTATCAGGCATCTCTAGGAAGACTGAAGAGCAGAGCAGACATCACAATCTCAGAGCCCTGCAGTCACCAGGCAGGAATCAGGAAGGAGGCAGATGAGAGGACTATGGCCATTTCTGCATTGTCTCCTTCCAGCACCTAATTCAGAGTCCAGTGGGTGAGGACAGGACAATGAGCACCAAGTCAGACTGCAGTGGAAACAGCACTAATGAACTCAGTCCTTGGTCCATTATTTTCTTCCCTGATGTCTGCCTGGTCCATTCTCACCATGGCAACCTCTCCTGACAGGCAACACCCATCCTTATTCTAAGATTAGCCACATAATAATGCATCATATTTCCAGAGCTATGAGAAAGTATAACCAACTCTAATGGTGACATTAGAGTTCCTTCTATTTATCTTTTAGGGAAATTAAAACCTGCACGTTCCCATTTTACCCCTTGGGGGAGGGTAAGGGAAGTGACATTTCAAATTACAATAAAATATTTAACATGATCATCAAATACTTGTAAATTCAGGATGCCCCTCTCACCTGTGCTTATAAATTATTTATTTTTATTTTACGTGCATTGGTGTTTTGACTGCATGTATGTCCGTGTGAATATTCTGGATCCCCTGGAACTTAAGTTACAGACACTTGCGAGCTGCCACGTGGGTGCTGGGAATTGAACCTGGGTTTTCTGGCAGAGCAGCCAGTGTCCTTAACCACTGAGCCATCTCTGCAGCTCCTACTTTTTTCTTTTTTAACTTTTCAATCCCATTCCTCCCTTATTAGTTTTAATAACCAAGGCAGCAGGCTATTTCCTATATTATTGATGATTATGTTCATCAAAGGAAACACAACATTCTAAAATGTTCATGTTTGAGAGAATGCGCTGTAGTGTGTGGAGAAACTGAGGCAGTGTGAACATAAGAATTACGATGATGTTAACAGAGAGTTTGAGTACAAACAGCTGAGGGTCACCCTCTCCACCACTGCTAGATGAACTGACACAGAAAATAGCCCTGGAGCTGTAAAGGATGTTTGCACTGTCCAGTCCGGTTGCTGTCTTTTCAGTCTCAGAGGGCCCCAGGGACGCATTCTGTAGGAAAATGACTGTCTTCATTTATGTAGACATTGTCTTCAACTCATGGCCACACAACCACTGTGTTCTGTAAAGCTCCCATCTTAGAGACACGGAATGCTACCAAGCTGTAGAGAGAGATGTTGAAGAAAGAACAAGAGGTCACCTTTCAGGTCTGAGCAGGACTTTCATTTACGATGTATGCTCAGGACTTCAGGAGCCCCAGTCACAAAAACTGTAATAGTGAACAATGCCACACAGGACCCTGGCAATCCACACAGGCCCCTGGCATTAAGTAGTGGAAAAGATTTTTTTTCTTGCTTTTTGTTTTTGTAATAAGCATCAGACTAACTAAGAATTTTTTAAAGCAGCACATATATATCCAATATACTAATATAATAAAACACAAAAGTGGGAGATCTAGAGACACATGTCTAGGCATTAAACCAAGGCACCATATCAGGGTGTTTATTTGGAACTGGGCTAGGAAATGGACGACTTGAGTATTTACTTTGCACTGTGACACTTTAGAAAGGGTTAGGAGAGCCTGTGACCTGAGTGAGATCCCTAGGGCCCTTGGAAAGGCAGAAGGAAAGAGCTCCAGTGTTGTCCTGACCTCCACAGGTGCCACAGAACATGCGAGCGTGCATATGTGTGTGTGTGTGTGTGTGTGTGTGTGTGTGTGTGTGTGTGTGTGATACACACACACACAAATCATGCACACAATAATACAAAGTTTTCTTTATTTAAAAAGAGAGAGTTTTGAAACCTGCACAGCATATACATCCCCTGACACTAGCATGGAGTAGAAAGACATTTAAACAACACAGCAGTGTCTTTACACTGTAGGTGGTGGTCTGTGGCACAATTTCAAAGATTACTCTTTGACACATATTTGCAAATGTCACAAGCACACAAACATCAGGCACTGGACCGAAAGGAATTCTGGGAGAGCACTGCAGGTGTTTGTGGCTGGCCCACTCCAACAGCTGTGGGAGGGGCTTCACTTGCAGAGCTCATCCTGTGCCCCTGTTCATCAGGGCAGGCACAGTGGACTAACATTTGAGCTTCTAGAACTCATGGAGGGGCAAACCAGAGAAGAAAATAGAGGACCTCTGGGATGATGTTTTGACACAGTGGGGTTTTGTCGTTTGTGCACAGTGGCCATTTCTACTACTGAAATGCAGAACCAAAATGAGCATCTCCAGTCGGCCACATAAGGAACATGCCTGTGCTGAGAATTACACAGAACAAGAGAGATCCAGCTCCACTCTGTCTGGGACAGTCACACATGTAGGGAAAGAGTGTAGGGTCAGGACACTCCTGAGTCAGTGTGTTATAACTGACAGAGAAAGTCATGAGAGAATGTCCAGAGTGTGTCATGTAGTAGTTAGTTTAGTTTTGTGGCTTTTTTTCTTGCTTTTGATTTATTTGTTTGTTCATTCATTCATTCATTCAATTCATCCATCCACTTGGTTTTGTCAGGGTCTCACTATGTTGCACTGGCTATCCTGTAAATTCCTACATAGACCAGACATTCTTGGACTCATAGAGATCCACCCACCTCTGTCTGCTGAGTTGGAATTAAAGGTGTGAGTCTCCACACCTGGAGTTATTTACTTATTTTTAGACTGGGCAGGGCATTGGTAGAAGTCTGGGCTGGACATTAACTTACAGTACTCCTGCCTTAGCTTACTGAGTGTTGAGATAACAGGGGTGTGCCACCTCACCCAACTTCTCCCCCTCTTCTTTCTGTGTTGTGTTTTCTCCAATGTTTTCTTTTATATTAAGTGATTAAAATGTAACATTGGGGGCTGAAGAGATGACTCAGCAGTTAAGCATGGTCCTTGCACAAACAGGAGAACCAGAGTTCAGATGCAGGCCCCCAGGTGACAGGTAGAATATCGCCTGCATCCCTGTAACCCAGCACTGAGGGAGACAGAGGCAGGAGGATCACTGGGGCTTTCTGACCTTGCAAAGCAAACAATGTGAACTGCAGGTCCAAGGGAGACTCTGCCTTAAAGGACAAAGTGAGGATAGAGAAGGACACTCCCTGTCCTCCGCTGGCCTCCAGGCAGGTGTACTTGAACACACTCATGCCTGTCCTCTCCATGTCCTGTCCCTGTTTCTGCCCCCACCTCTGCATATCCCTACACTTATCTTTCTCTCTCATATACACAAGTAACAAGTTTAAATTAAATTTTTGAAAAAAAAAAGATACTTTACTAACAGGAACAAGACTAAAATCATGCTGTGTTCATCCAACTCTTACAATTATTTCCATTCTATATTCAGAAAGTTCAATTTAAGAGATATATCAGTTAGATTTACAAGCATGGGATTCAGAGGTTGAGGCCAGTGTAGTGTGACCTCATATTTATGGACCTGTTTTTGATCTATAGGATGAGGCTAATAGTAGTTCCTATCTTATAGATTTATTGCTGTGAAGGGAAGGTAATATGGACACTCATTAAGAATTAACTGTGTCAGACACTTCTAAGGACCCAACACTGGACAAGGCCCAGTCTATGGCTGGGCTCTTGTGCTTAACACAGACACAGGTAAGTCTATGGAGGCAGCCTGAAGGACATGGAATTAGACTGAAAGGCATAGTCCTGTGGACAGCCAATCTTTAGACAAATTAAATAGACTAGATTGTTATAAACATGTTGCACAGAGGAGGTACAGGGGGCTGACACTGGAGAGACTAACAGAGCTCCCCAAGTGTAGTAAACTGAGGAGCCTGTAAGACATACAGAAGTTTAGGGAGTGAAGGGGGCTGGTGTGGAGTGTGGAGACACTGGCCGTACCACAGTCCAGTTACACTCCCGGCAGTCTCAGAAATGATCTTCCTCTAAATCCTCTGCTCCCTAGGGCTTCCTGGAACAGCCCACCCCCTAATCCTGTCATCCCCATCATTCTTGCCTGAAAGAACCTCAAAGGACCTTTCTACTACCTTACATGCTGTGATACACTTCATCAGTTTGTAATAGAATAGGAACTCAGTGAAATAAAACATTGAGGAAACAAGAGTGGATCAATTCAACTCCTTCAACACCAGCTCCAGGAAGCAAAACTTAGAACTCAGCGACTACCTATAAGAGATGAGGATCAAGGGCCTTCTGTTCCTGTCCTACCGTAAATGCAGGAAATACAGATTGTAGAAAATATCTCTGAAAAATGAGGGCAACAAGAAAGGGACTCATTAAACTTTCTTTGGGGATCAAACTTATAGAATGGGGGGCCAAGCATTGTGGAACACACCTATAATTCCAGAGTGAAAGCATCTGAGGCAGGAGGATTGTTAGTTCCAGCCTGGCCTAGGCTACATAGGAAGTTCCAGGCCAGTCTGAACTACTTAGTGAACCCTATCTCAAATCAACCAACTAATCAATGAATCTATTAGTAAAGAATGATTTAGTAACAAAAGAAAGCATAGAGATCTAGGATGTGGTGGCACATGCCTTTAATTCCAGCATTCAAGAGACAGAGGCAGGTGGATATCTGTGACTTTGAGGCCAGTCTAGTCTGCAGATCCAGTTCTGGGACCCATAGAGCTCACAAAGGAAACCCTGTCTCAAAAAATTAAAAAAAAAAAAAACAACAACAGAAAGATAAAGGGGGGGGGGTGGAGAGAACACAGAGAGACATTCTCAAGATTGTTAGTTTAAAAAGAATCAACACAATGCACACCAGCTTACCTTAGAGACCCCGACTTCTTTTTCATAAGGATGTACCCTAAATTAGGGTAGGAAGAGGTAGGAGAAATTGAAAAAATTGAACATGTTATCAGAAACATTCATGATAATTTCTCCTAATCAAGGATCTTGTTTCTGTTTTTCATTGAACTGTCCCTCTGGTAACTTTGGGTAATTCCTTCCTGCACCCTGCAGGAAGAATATTCTTTCCACTCACTGTCGGGGATATTCATCCACATGGCCTAATTTGATAGAATGAGATTAGTAAATTATTGTTCACCGAGACAAGCAATAGGCTGCTAGAGAACAAGTCCGTAAGGGAGGAATAAACAATTTTGGACTAAGGAAGGGACAACATTTGTGGAATTTTACTCCATTATTACATAATTCTCCCATTCAGACATGATCTGATATGTAGCCCAGGCTAGCCACAGACTTGTAAATGCTGGTGTAATAAACATGACACTAGATCCACCTTAAATAATGATTTAGGATGAACAGTTTTAAATAATGAAGGGAAACATCTGAACTCTGACCGGCATATTCTTATTCCCCACTTCCTGTGAAACGGGTCAGTGATGGGCTCAGGCATGGTGTTCTGTAAAGTCCATGGCTGAAGTTCTTACACAGGGAATGGACTACGCAGAGAGAAACACTGTGTGCACATGAACAACTCATGGAGAGGGCCACGTAGGCCTGGGTGCCACCTTCAAATAGTCTGTTCCAGCATTAGTCAGGGGCACCCAAATAATGTCTCATTTGCCTAATCTACTATGTTCCAGGACATTCAACAATATCATCATGGGAAACAAGCGAGATCCCAAGGGTGGGAAAGGAGAGAACACCTCAAAGTTCTTACAGTGTTCTAAAAATTCTCAAACCTATCCAAAATCTCTTGTGTCATATTATGTAATTTATTTTATGGAAACTATAATGTTTCCCTTTCGATGGCAACAACTGAAAGACGAAGGACAGAGTTGGGAACAGGAGTGCAGGCAAGCACTGCAGCCTATCCCTGTGAGCCCAGCACTTGGATATTTAGGCAGGAGGATCTGGAGTGGAAGGTCATCCTCAGCTACCTCTTAAGGTCGGTACCAGTACGGACAACAGGAGATCAAGTTTTACAGAGTAGGAATCTTTGGAGACATAGCAGCAATGGTTCAAGATCACTGAACAAGAGTGCTCACCAGGTGCCAGAAATCACCTGCAGAGTTTTGTGGGTCCTAACACATCCCTTGGGGAGTAGATGTTTACTATGTGTGTCTTGGATCTGGGGATACTGAAGCCATGTGAACTCAAAACTCCTGTGACTTGTGTACTTGCTAAAGACAGTCAGAGAACCCTGGCTCTCCTTCTCTGGGGACAGTTGTGAAATTACTTACTGGTGACAGCCAGGGTACACACAAACAGCAGCAACAGCAGGGCAGCCATGGAGATGCCCACATAGAAGCCAGTATTCGTGTTCTTCTGCCGCTCCTGTGAAAGGATCGATTCCTAAGAAAACAATAAATAAAACAACAGTAGCAATAAATAAACAGCAGTAAACACAGGGGCAGCAAGTGAGAGGAAGAGAAAACACATGCTTGACCTTAACCTAGACTCTAGGTCCTAGAGCTTAGTCTTTATTGGCCTGTGGCTAGTCTGGAATATACAGGAAGAACCAAGGATCTGAGGTGGTAATGGGCAGAGCAACTCCAAGACAGTGTGAAATCGGTGTCTTTGATGATGGTGGAAGTGTATTCTGTGTTGTTCGAGGTGATTACATGGATGGATACCTCAGTTACAATTTTAACTTCATGCTTAATGTAGGTTCATACATCATGTATGTGATTATGTCTGCTATAATAGTCAGTAGGTTATTCCCGAAATTCCATAAACTATTTTATGATATTAAAAGAGAAGAAAAGAGTAGCCCATTGCTAAGTTAACTTTCTCTAGGTGTGCTCAGCTCCTGGTCTGGTCTTCCATCACAGACCCTACTTGTCATGTAAATGCAACTCAAGATTCCACATCAAGCAGGGCAGTGGTGGCGCACACCTTTAATACCAGCACTCGGGAGGCAGAGCCAGGTGGATATCTGTGAGTTCGAGGCCAGCCTGGGCTACCAAGTGAGTCCCAGGAAAGGCGCAAAGCTACACAGAGAAACCCTGTCTCAAAAAAAAAAAAAAAAAAGATTCCACATCTTTATAAACATGTAATACCAAATGGTCAGTGTGGAACATATACACACAAATAGCCAATAGACTAGTCAGGTTATATTAATGTTTATAGGAATACATAAAGGTATTAAATATGAATATATGTAATATATAATACATATATAAAATTGCTAGGCATATATTAACAATTATATATAGTATATATTAATATATCTCACACTACATACTTATATAATATACAATATATAACATACTAAATATTATATGTACTAATATATTATATGTATGTAACTATTTAAGGAATAGAGACCATGAATTAGAAAGAAAGCAAGAAGTGAGTACATGGAAGGGTTTGAAGGGAGTTGAGAAAAAAAAACAATATAATTATATCTAATAACTTGCTAAAAATAGTAGGAAGACTCTTTTCCTGGATGCAGCCTGATTAACACCGTGTGATCAGACAGAAATGCAGAATCTCCCCTAGTGCCCTGGTGCAGGTGATCAGGGATTAGTATATACTGAATAAGCAGGAGACAGGCTGGGTAGCAGGTGAGGCCCCTCTAATAGCTTAACACTCATCTACCAACCCTAAACAGAGCCCATGGGATGGGTTTAAATGCTGGGAAAGGGAGGATCAGAGACCAGGTCTTTGCCCCTGTATGAATGAGCCTCGTCTCTGGAGTCACAATCCCAGCTCCTCTGCCTAGTCAGGGAAACCATGGACAAGTTATTCAAGCTCTGTGAGTTCTGTCTCTACATCCTCAAACAACATGTTCAGTAGGGTTCTTAAGAAAGGGATTCTCAGGTATTTCCTGACAAATGGTATGGGGATATAAAGTAATGTCTGTTGGTTTTGAGAGAGGGTCTCAATGTACCCTAGGCTGGCCTGGCACTCACTAGCTAGCCATTATGATGAACTTCTGATCCTCCTGCCTATACCTCCCTGAGTGCCTGGATCACAGGCAGGTCCACTGTGCCCATGTGAACATTTACTTCATTTTATTTTCCTGATCATGAATGACAACAATGGCTATCCTTTCTTATTCATCTTTGAATATTTATTTTTTCAACCTTTTCATGGATGTAGTCTTGAAAGTTGATCTACAGGTTCAAAATGTAGGATGATTTCCTAGGCATAGTGGTGCACACCTGTAATCCCAGGACTTGGGAAGTAGAGACAGGAGGTCCCAGACCTCACGATCCTTCTCATCTCCATAGAGAATTCAAGGTCACCCTTGTCCCCAGGAGACCCTGTCTCAAAACACAAACTAAAAACTTAGACACAAGCACACAAATGTATCTGTGTGCACTGTTCTCAATGCACCTAGAGCCAGACTGACAGCTTCAGAGACCAGATGTTGCTATTTCTTGTTTTGAATTTAATTTTAAAGTATTTCTTCTTGCTGGTAAAGATGCCTGCACTGCAGTTAACCAAACTCAGCTGCAACTTCACTATGCAGGGTTGTGTTAAAAACAGTACAAGTCTGCTCAATTAGAAATACTCTCAACACAGCATGATGGTTTCTAATATTGCACTATGTTAATTTACTCCCCTCTAGCTAACTCATTTTTTTTAACTTAACTTTTAACCATAGAAAATCTCACACTCTGAATGCAGGGTGGTGGTAGCACATGCCTTTAATCCCAGCACTTGGAATGCAGAGACAGGCAGATCTCTGTGAGTTCAAGGCAGCCTGGGCTACAGAGTGAGTTCCAGGACATACTCCAAAACCACACAGAGAAACCCTCTCTCAGAAAAATAAAAATAAAAAATCTGAGGCTTACTATAGAGAAATTGTAGGAGAAAAATCATGCAAAATTAAGAATGTCTAAGACCCTAATAGGTTAGTTATGTGGAGATTTGTGTAAAGAAAAAAATATCAATGGGCTCTACAGAGAATGGTTACTGGGTAGAAAAATAATATAAGGGGACCCTAAATAAACTTGAATTCAAACATTCTATATAAGCATCAACTCTTATTTTCTTTATTTTTATATATTTATTAATTTATTTATCTACAGTTTTTTAAACAGGGTCTCACTATGTAGCACAAGTTGCCTAATGGTCCAGACTGGTCCTAAACTTCTGATATCTTGTTTTAAATTTCTGAGTTCTATGAATAAGGAAGATACCACTATAAATGGCTCCTTTTCCTTTCTTCTTTTTGATACAAATATCTGTGAACTAACTTTACAGGCATAAAATAATCTTTAAATATAAATAGTTTCCCAGAAAATATACCAGTGAACATGGTTAATAAATTGGTGAGTAATATACTTACAGTGTAATTATTGCAAAAGTCGTCTGAGGATGTCACAGTGTAATTCAAATCTGCTCAACAAGAGGGAAAATTAATTATAATTACAAGAATTTAGATTTTCATTTCTTTTCTTTTCTTTTTTTTTTTTTTTTTTTTTGGTTTTTCGAGACAGGGTTTCTCTGCGTAGCTTTGTGCCTTTCCTGGAGCTCACTTGGTAGCCCAGGCTGGCCTCGAACTCACAGATATCCACCTGGCTCTGCCTCCCGAGTGCTGGGATTAAAGGCGTGCGCCACCACCGCCCGGCTACATCTGTAAATATTACCCACAAGGTGGTTTACAATGTATGAGGGTTAGGATTTAATATTGCAGAAGATTCATTGAACAGCATGTTTTAAACATCATATATTTGAAGTGCATTTGAAATGTTTATTTTATAACAAGGAATCTATTGTTTTCATTGTTTCTCTGTGTCTATGTATGAAACACAGAACCCTATATCAGACATACATAAGGTTTGTAACATCCTGACAAGGAGCCCCTTCACTGCATTTTACAGATGGAGCAGCAGACATCAGATACCTCCATATTTCTACTTTTAGCAAATGACAGACATCTCTGCTGGCAATGTACACACAGTGCCACACAATGAGTGGGAACACTACAGGTCTATGGGAGTCCCCAACTACTGCTAAAACTGGCCGGCCCAGCAGAATAAGGTTGGATGACTTACAGTTCTCCTCATTTTAACATTGCTGTGCTTACATGTTATTCAATGTGAGAGCTCTTCCAAGGAACCAGAGGCAATGACTAGGTTTAGGGAACATCTTCAGTCTAGGCTGTGTTTTGACTTAGGCCCTTAGTAAGACCTTCCAGGAATAATGATTCAAAACCTGACATTTAGAGCCCTGAGAAATCCACATCACAACATTGTTTGTGGAAGAAAATTATTCAAATATATTTGCTGTAAATGACATCTTGGAGCACTGATTCAAAACCTATAGCAACAAGGGGATGGAGTAGTACTTCTTATCAATCTCCAGAGACCTGACTTGAGAGCCACCACATCACATGTATACTCAATGTAAAGAAACCTAAGTGCTCTGCATGGATAAGTCCATATGCGTGCCTCAGTGTGCCCTATTCCTTTCCTAAGCATCTGTCTTTGTAATAACCAGGTGCTTAGGATCTGTTAAATAGCTTCAACACTCCATCACATTGACTGTCCTGACATTTTCTTCAGAGAAGCCTTAGAGCTTAGTTTGGCCTCAATGGAGGAGCTTATGGGGAAAGTACCAATTGAGGATGCTGTGGGGAGGTAGATGGAGCTGTGTCTCTGTCCTCGCTACCACTTACAATGTCAGACTTATATTGTTGCAGAGGGTGCTTATTCATCACCAGCTTCATCAAGATCTGGACCTTCCAAATGGCTGAGTTGCCTTTAGCCTACTGGCTATGGGTGGGTTAGGACTTCTGTTGGTCTCTTCTGTGTCAAACACACAGATTGCAAGCCCAACACCACTTTGAGATGTGTGGCAGCAGTTAACTCTGCAGCTCACACGATTGAGCCTGTATGACAATGAGTATTCAGAGACGGGTAATGTCTGGGGGCACTCACCAACCTAAGACAGAGAACCTGTGTGGCCTGGGCAGGTGTCTCCATGATGGGTAAGGTGACCTGCTGATGTCCCACACAACCTAACTCAGAAGCTCATTTTTTAATAAAGGGGGACCTGTAGGGCCCTGGCCCCCATTTTGGGTAACTGTTGCCTTGCTTGCTGACCTTGATATCCTCCCTATGCCAATTCCCTGCTGGGTTCTACCCTGCTGAATGCTTAAGGGAAGTTCCTTGTCTGTGTATCCTGCATAATGGGCCTTAACAGCTTAGATGCAAGATTGTAAAACATTGGTAGCGAACTTCTGCCCTCTGGGGTTCTCCCATTGTGCTGTAAGCCTGTATTTAAGACCTCCTCCCTCCTTCAATAAATGGCATTCGGCATTAAAAAAAAAAAAGAAAGATTTGGACCTTCCAAGGGGATAAGGGAGGAGAACTTAGTTACCTGCAAGAGTGTAGGATGGGGTTTCTGTCACCTCAGCTGTTGTCTGATGTGGATAAATCATAGTGGGTTCTGGAATGAGAACAATGCAAGAACTGTTTCAGCTTGGAGTCAGGCCCCCTCCAAGGAAATAGAATCAAAACTTACCTTCACCCTCCACAGTGCCTCCCCCAGCCTCCTAAGCAGGAATGGCTCCTTCCTACTCATTTCTGTATCAGCTGACTCCTCTGAGAAATGTATCCAAAGATGGGCACTGTCTCAGCAAGTGATCTGTGTTCTAATATTCTGGACAGCTTCATCAGGATTCAAAATTGTCTCACACTTTCCATTTTAGACTCCTGAACTCCTCTGGAGGATTGAACACTCAGTTAAGATTCCAATTTATCAAGACAAGGGTCATTTGACCTTCTAGGAAAGGGACATGTAGTTTCAAAGTTCCTCACTACACACTTCACTGCAGGCCTTATTCTTTTTCTTTTCTTTTTTTTTTGTTTTTTTGAGACAGGGTTACTTTTTGTAGCTTTGCACCTTTCCTGGAACTCACTCTGTAGCCCAGGTGAGCCTCGAACTCACAAAGATCTGCCTGCCTCTGCCTCCCAAGTGATGGATTAAAGGCATGCACCACCACCACACAACTGTGTGGCTAGTGCCCAGCAGGCCTTATTCAAGCCCCAGATAATCCACACTTCTTTCCATGGAGTTGAGCTCACTGAACAACATGGAATAGATGGACCATTTCATCACTGAGTTCTTCTCAAGGTAGCAGCATCACTCTGGGGATGACTCCTACTCTGCAGCCTGCCTTGTGCTGTGTAATCCTCTCTCTCTCTCTCTCTCTCTCTCTCTCTCTCTCTCTCTCTCTCAGTGTCTGAGAATTAAGTGTCTGCATCAGGAAGCATGCAGCATACTACCTGATGCTCAGGAAATGCTAAATGATAGCCTCCCTGAACTATGGCCTCAGCTGGATGGCTCAATTTCAGAATGGATGTAAAGGGTCAAGAGTCTCCCTATCCTGATCCTAGTTCTCAGTCAGTCCTTAGTTTTTCATCAGATAGTCATGTCCATCTGGACCAGATTCCTACCATCCTCATCAGCTATCCTAGATCAGTGATCCACCTAAGTCTGGCTAGTAATGAATCACCTGAGAATATGATATGGAGAGACAGGTGTCCTCCATCTTCAAGCTCTTGCAGAGCAGAGGGTGAATATAACTTATGACTGGAAAATTACAGACGTTGTGAAGCTGTTTGGGGCTCAGCTAAGAACTCTTCACCTATATTATACTTCTGACTTGACTCACTGTCTGTCTCCTACTAACTCTCATGAGAAGGACTCTGGGTCCTGAATCACATTGGGTTGTACCTGGTGTGTGAGACTGTGTGTGTGCTGGTGTTGGAGGAGTAGAGTTGGAGACTCGGGGTGATGTGGGTACATGGGTGGGTCTTGTTGCAATAGTCATGGGTCTATCTGTAGTTGTAGGTCTTGTTGAAATAGTCGTGGGTCTTGCTGTAGTTGTGGGTCTTGCTGTAGTTGTGGGTCTTGTTGGAGGACTTGTGGGAATTTCTGCATTTAGAAATTGAAACAAAGAAGAATCAGTCAAGCAAGAATAGGCAAGTGCTTCTGTTGTAGCACCCATGAGAGGCTGTCCCCTGAGAGGCTCCTCTCCTGAACTTCTGTTCTTTGTCATTGACCAACTAGGACTGGGCAGGACCAATAGGAGGCAGCTGCACTTATCACATGGAGCTGAGCACAGAGCCCATGTTCCTAAGGACACACTGTATAAATGACAGGTGTCAGATCCTCAGATGTCTAAGCATAGCTGTGAGACTGTAAGGTTATGAGGGGCTGGCACTGCTGTCAGTGGTGACTGACTTCACCCACATTTCCAGGCCCAGCATGTTCATTTCAGTTAGTCCCTAGAGGACACAACATACAGCCCTGCATCTTAGCTTGCAGATCCCACACAAGCCCCAACTAAATGGGATTTGCACAATTGGGTAGAGAGTGGATATTGTCTATGGTGCCTTCCAATGTAAGACAGACAAGGTGAATACCCCTTATCCACAAATGCTTGGTACCCAGAGTGTGATAATTTAAATCTTGTTTAAATATCTGGAATATATGCATATAGATAATATCTTATGGGTAGGGTTCAAGTATAAACATGGATTGATGTAGCATTCATATAATTACTCTTTACCTATATAGCTTAAAGGTAACCTTATAAACTGTGGATAATTCTGCATATGATACTTTCATGTTCTTTAGATTTCAAGGTGAATTATCAAGTCCATACTCAAAAGGTTCCAGATTTTGGAGCATTGAAGATTTGGGATGTTTGGATTAGAGAGGCTCAACCTACAATTCACAAAACAACAGCATCCAAAGTGCTGTAAGTATCCAAACAGCTACTGATGGTCTCAGTGTGCAGAGTTCCTAGACAGGAGCTAAGGCAAAGTGGTGCTGGGATCACACAGTCAGCCAGGACTCATGCTGTCTGTGTCAACAGATACATGTGTTCCCTGTAAGTAATCTCCTTTGATCTGGACTATGCTAACTACAAAATAAAACCCGGACAATGAGGAATGATTGCTTTGAAAACTCTCCTTTACATTCCTTGAATACAATGCAGTCCCTTAATATATTGTGTGTTTACCTTGACATAAAAAAAAAAACCTGTAGTGTTCCTACTATGCGTAGGGAAGTAGTGGGAGCAGAGCATCCCCCTTAAATTCAATACATTAATTTATTCATTTATTTGTGTGTTTGTGGGATGTCACAAATGTGGATGCCAGGGGATAACTTTTCAGAGTCTGTTCTCTCCTTCCACCATGTGGGCCCAGGGATTGAACTCAGGTCGTTAGGTTTAGCAGTGGGCACCTTTCCCCACTGAGCCATCTCACTGGCCCTCAAGCCCCTTTTATGTAGAGAGTCAGATGAAAGGATTTTTGTCTCAGGCACATAAAAACAGGTGTTCAGGAGCAAGCACTCATGTCAATCAATGAAAGTCACTGCTGACAACTTAGCAAGGAGTGGGTGTGGCTGTGCTGCAGTAAAACTCTTCCCAGCAGCAGGGGGTCTGTTTCTAACCTGGTCTGGTTTGTTTGCTGATCCAGTCTAATGTGTGGGCAGAGGCCTGAGCACAGTACACACCCTCCCTGGAGAGCATAAATCTCTGAGGTGGAGAAAAGCAAGTATGTGGACAATCTAGTCAGAAGATCACTGTGAGAACAAAGCCAGGAAAGAATCACCAGCTCAGGAGCTTTGCTTCTCTTGCCGTGGGGCATTTTTTTTTCCCAGGTAGATGGGAAAGTTCTTAGGAGCTGATGAGGGTCCCAGAGCAGCTGAAGAGGAAGCTCCATGTGTTTAAACCATGAGAAGATGTGGACTTGGTTGTTAAAGGGGGAATCAGAGTTGCTGCCTCACTTCTGGACTCACTCAGTGGTCAAACAGTAACTTTGTAAGCACTGACCTGCTAACAAATTTCTAAGCTTCATAAAACCTTTCATTAATCAATGGAAACTAGTAATTTTATGGTGACATGCCATGCCATTCCCCCTTCTAGTGCTGGGAATCTTACCCCAGGGTTTTAGGCAGGAATGTGTGCTGGACAGCGCCTTCCCCAGCTACAACCACAGCCCTCACTTGGTTATTGTGTGTTTGCAGTTCTAGGGACAGAACCCAAGGCCTCAGGCATGCTTGACAAATTTCTAGACATCTGATAAGGCAGTTTATTTTTTTTATTTCTCTCTCTCTCTCTCTCTCTCTCTCTCTCTCTCTCTCTCTCTCTCTCTCTCTCTCTCTCTGTGTGTGTGTGTGTATGTGTGTATTTGAATGTGGGTTTATTGTCATGTGAATGGGTTCCTTTGAAGGCCAGAATCATTTAACTTTAGCCAGGTAAGTAATATAATTTCACACCTGTGATATGCACTTAGCACCTTATGTCTCTCCCCCAATGCCATCTCTATATATCTTTCTTTGCATACGCTATGACCAGGTTCTTCTGGCTTCCCTAAGTTGCCTCTCAGGCATAGATTTGGAAGTCAGCTCCTTGCCCCTGAGAATGGACTTCATCCTAACGAGGTGTGGTCGCACATGCCCATTATCTCAGTACTGGGGAGGCTAAGGCATGAGCAAGAAGTTCTAGATCAACCCGATTTACAAAACAAGGCCTACTCTCAATATCAGTAAATCAGTCAATCAATAAACAGAGATCCAGAAAAATGGTTCAATGAGTAGAAGCCCTTGACTCGAGAGCTTGGCCAGCTGATTTACATCCTGAGAATTCACACAAGGATGTAACGATAGTAACAACCACACAAGTTTGTCCTCTGGCAAATTCATCATGGTATGCAAACCCACCACATACACATCATTCACACACAGCCACACAATAATACATGCTGTAAGGATTCTGTCCTTAATGTCACCAGCCTAAAAAGCGGGTGGGCCCTCTGTGCATTCCTTTTCTCTTTCTGCTCTCTTCCCTCTGCACAGTCTCTGGTTCTCTGGTTTTCTCTCTCTCTCTCTCTCTCTCTCTCTCTCTCTCTCCCTCTCTCCCTCTCTCCCTCTCTCCCTCTCTCCCTCTCCCTCTCTCTCCCAATAAAGCTCTAGAAAGGTAACCACAGCTCATGACTCCAGCACTCTTCTCCACATGGCTGCCAGGTATTGGCCTTGCTGAGAGAATGGCAGCCAGTGTCTGCTTTGATATGTTAATATGCACCTTAGTTAGTCTTCATCCTGAGACCTAGCAGCTAACACCTCCACCACTAAAAGATGTAACAAGTCAGACTTTCCCCTTGCTCTGGGGACCAGCCTGAGACTCCTCAGGAGGAATTCTCAGAGGATTATTTTGCAGGCTGCTCTCTGAAGAGGATCCTCTGTAGACCTGCCATTCCAGTCATGGCAGCTTTCTCTCTAATCCTCCCTCTCTCCCTCTCACATTTCTGCTCTTAATGAAACTCCTCTCCAGGTTGTAAAGAGAAGCTCCTCATTCCCTGGAAGCCTCTTCACCCCCCATCAAGGGATGAACCTCATAGATGGTATTTTTTCTGTCTAATGCTCTCCCTCCCAGCTGGAGGTCTGGGGCCTTGGGGCCTTTTCATTCTAATAAAGCTCATTGGAGGGAATTGTGTGTCAGTGTCATCTATGGACTAGCCATTGCTCCTCATCTGTTAGTACACTGCTGAGTGACAGTGAACAGGTGTTTGATGGAATCCTCTTCTATATGGACAATTCCATTGTTCAAGCAACAAATTGTGTGACAAGATATGAGACCTATTTCAAAGGCCCAAGGCAGGGCAGACAGGGAGCAGAACTCTCCACCTATACACAAATATATTTATAGCAACCTTTGGTTTCATTCTTAGAAGAAAACAGAAAATATTAGCACATAGAGGACTAGGGTCTCTTGAAGAAATAAACAAAGGAAATAAAGAAAGCTTACCTGGTTTAATTTCCAAGGAATAGGTCACATAACGGAAAGATCCAGGAATCTCCACTATACAACAGTATGGACCACTGTCACTCTGAACAGCATTCTCTATTGTCAAGGACACGTTTCCTTCTGAAATATGCCCCTTTAGCTGGTATCGGCTGCTGCTCTTATAGGAAACTTGATATCCATTGGTCCAGATAAGCGTTCTAGCACAATAAACAGATCGACATTCACCAAGGCCCCAGCATGCGGTAGTGACTCCCCCATTTGTAGAGTAAGTACATGGCAGTGTGACAGGGTGACCCACCACACCTTTTACTACTGCGTAAGAACCCAGAGCACCTGTGATGGAAAAAAGAAGAGAGGGGGAAGAAATGAAGAATGAGTACCCAACATTTTCCTAAAATTTTGTTCTTATTTCTTTTCAGAAAAATTACGGTAGGGGTATTGAACTGGAATTTAATTTAGGGTATTATAAAAAGTGAGGCAAGTGCTGTCCACTGAACTACTGCTCCAGCCTTTCTTTATCATCGGTGTTTTGGGGGTTGAGGAGGGGTTGGAGGGAATGACAACTTAATGTCTGTTGTTATCATTTGGTTTTCTGAGCCAGGGTCTCACTTTGTAGCTTTGGTTGGACTGGAACTTGCTGTGTAAACCAGGCTGACTTTAACCTTCCAGAGCTCGGGCTGCCTCTACCTCCCCAATCCCATGATTAAATGTGCAGTTTTACAGCTTGAATTTGAAGACTGTAAACAGTTTCCTCTTAGCATATTCTTCCTCAATTTGGACCCATTTGAGAACAAAACAACTTCTTGGTGGTATGATATTCATGCAGCTTTTCTTCTCTTTTCTCAACTTTGGGAGTGACTTTCTTTGGAGAGAGCGTTTTTTATACCTCATCTGGCTCAAAATCATGATCCTCCCACCTCTGACTCCTAAGTGCTGGGATATTAAACATATGCCACTGAGACCAGCTCAAATGTTTCATTTTTTAAAATTTAAAACTTTCTATATCAGAAGCTAGGTGGTGGGTAATGCTTTTAAACCCAGAACTCACTTGTATCCCAGAACTTGGGAGGTAGAGGAAGAAAGATGAGGAATTCAAGGCCAGCTTCATTTAATTAGTGAGTTGAAGACAGGTCTAGGATTTGGAGACCTTATCTCAAACCATCCCTCCTCCTCCTCCTCCACAGTGCTATGACAACAAAATCACTAACTCTTCCCACCTCTCCTAATCAAAGAGCAGAGCCAGGGCTTTGGAAAAGCATTGTTGGCTTCAAGGCAGAACCTTAGTAACTTCAAAGTCAGTCTTCAGAAAGGAGAGACTGAGGCTTGTTCTAAATTTTATGTTTGATTCTCAAGACACACACACACACACACACACACACACACACACACACACACACACACACACTAAGCAGAGGTCCTTTCTTAAAAGTTGGTGACATTTCAGAACTTGAGCAAGACCTACTAACTAGCACAGTAAGACCACATACTCAGAAAATATGTAACCAGTAATGTAATGGTGCAATTTAAAAACTGAAATGATTAAATATAATTCTTTTGGGAATGATGGAATAAAATTTCTAATAACAATAGCTTCCACAGTGGCCTTCAAAGGAATTCTGAGGGCTGAGGATACAGCTCAATGATACAGTGCACTAGCCCATGCTAGCCACTGTGTTGGATCCCAGCATAGGAAACAAACAAACGAACAAACAAAAGCACAAAACAATGAATTGTGAGATTCCTAACAATCTATATGCAGGCCTAGGCTGTCAGTTTGGGACGTGAGCTAGAAAGCATATTACTTGTTCTATAATGAGTGTATATCTTACTGGGACACTCATTAGTTGATTTTGCTAAATATTGTTTTTTGTTTGTTTGTTTGTTTGTTTAGTTGGTTTTGTTTTTATCAAGACAGGGTTTCTCTGTGTAGTTTTGGTGCCAATCCTGGATCTCACTCTGCAGCCCAGGCTGGCCTTGAACTCACAGAAATCCACCTGGTTCTGCCTCCCGAGTGCTGGGATTAAAGGCGTGTGCCACCACCGCCTGGCCTCTTTTAGCTCCTTTGCTCTTTGGGGGCCCACCACCCAACTTCCAAATAAATCATCAAAGTCTTATTATTACTTATGAATGCCTGGCTTTAGCTTGGCTTATTTCTAGCCAGCTTTCCTTAACTTAAAATTTCCTGTTTGCCTTTTGCCTCTGGGCCTTTTCTTTTTCTTACTTCTGTATATCTTACTTTCACTCTTAATCCATTGCTTGCCGTGTGGCTGGGTGGCTGGGTGGCTGGTCCCTAGTGCCCTGCTCTCCGTGTTGTCTTGCTCCTTTCTTTTTCTCTCATTTCCTCCTTCTATTTATTCTCTCTGCCTGCCGATCTTCCTATCCTTACTCCTGCCTTGCTATTGGCTGTTCAGCTCTTTATTAGACCAATCAGGTGTTTTAATAGAAGCACAGCTTCACAGAGTTAAACAAATGCAACATAAAAGAATGCAACATATCTTTGCATCATTAAACAAATGTTCCACAGCATAAACAAGTGTAACATGTCTTAAAACAGTATTCTACAACAAAATATCTTATGATCACAAATAAAATACATGCTATTACAATTAAGTCATAGAAATGTATTTTATTTCTCACCAGTGATCTTAACTCTCTGTAGGTAGAGGCAGGAGGATCAAAGGTTTCAGGTGATCCTCAGCTAACTATAGAGTTGGAGGCCTGCCTGGACTAACTTAGACCCTGTCTCAAAATCAGTTATAGTATTCCTTCTATCCCCCCTTTTATAGAACATTTTGCATTAGAACGTTTTTAAGTTAAATATATGAAAATGGTTTTAAAAAGCAAAATACACAAAGAAATGTGTATGAAGGCTGACTTTGAGTAGTCATCATGCATGGAAAGCTCTGTTTGTAATTTTTTATTAACCTTAGAATATAACATGCATGCATGTGCACTCACCCTTACTTGTCCATAACATGTATACACATGCAATCATCCTTACTTGTCCATCACATTCATGTACATGCAATCTGCTTTACTTGTCCATAGCATCCATATGTGTGCTCTCACCCCATACTTGTTTATAACATTCATGTATGTGTACTCACCCTTACTTGACCATCACATGCATGCATGTGTACTTACCCTTACTTGTCCCTCACATACATGCATGTGTTCTCACCTCATGCCTGACATGTTCTTGGTGACCATGTTTATTTAGCCATGAGTTTTGAAATTCATACAGGCTAAGAAAATTCTTTGGAGCTACAATTTATCCTGGTTCTCTGCTCACAACATAAGCCATAATCAAAAAGGCCCAAGGATTGTCATCTCTTCTGCCAGCTCTAGCCTATTTAGCCTCCCCCAGCTCACCTACTCACTGACCTGGGAAAAGCAGTATGAGTCCTAAAATGAAGACTTGAGGGTGCATCATGGTGTTGACCTGCAGGACAGTGAGAAGACACTGGTTAGCTGTGGCACTCAGCACACTGTGTCAGGGCATGGATCCACTCTGTCTATGAATCACACAGGCCTTCCTGCTAGCGATCCCTGTCCTTCCAAACACCCTCTTCTTTCCCAGTCCTTCCTCACATTCAGCCAGCAATCTCACTTCTGGCCATGAGATACGTAAGGCAGCAAACAGAAAACTGAAGGCAGAGACAAGAGTGTGTTCTCTGGTAGAACTCTAAGCAGAGACCAGCCTTCTAATGGCAAGGATGCACTTGCCCCCTAGTGGACACAGAGCTGTTTCTGCTCAGAGCCACAGTGGTTGTCCCTGAATCTCAACCAAAAAACACCAGCAAGATGGACTGAGAGAGACTATAAAGCATCTCTCCTACTTCCACACATAATGACTGAGACCACATCTTTCTGGGGAATGTCTAGAGATAACTAGAAAAGCACTAGGTACAGATCAAAACCTACCATTCACAGAACCCATCCATGCCTAGATTTCCTACAGGTAAAATAGCACCAGTGTCTACTCAGATTTTGTAGAATCTGCTGTGAAGGAAACAATGGTCTATTTACTCACAGGAACCAAATCCTCCCAGAATCCCTATAACTGCTACCTTTAAGCCCATTTATGAATGTTACCTGTCTTTAGATTCCAACATCTGGATTTCAATGTTGTTTCTTAAATGGTTTTTACTCATAAAAACATGAGTAAGCCTTCCTAGTACTTCATTAGCTCCACTTCTTGTCAGAAGATTCCATGACTTCCTCTCAGAGAGGAAAGTGTGCCCTGTTACCAGTCTTAAAGATAGCAATGGCTTTCATGAAGCCTCCATGGCTCAGCATCTTTAGGCCTGGGCCCTGCACTATTCACACGAACAGCCCCTGTACTGAGAAGACATCAGAAATCTAATGCTGCCAGCTCTAGTGAAGCAATGACTTTCATGGACATTCTGAAAATCTTATTTCTTTATTACAAGACAACTTCAGAACATACAAAACAAACACAAGACACAACTATTTTACATTTTGACAGATAGTTGGTAGAACATGGTACCAACCATTCTGTCCCTTTAGAGTGCTATTGAGAAAGGATCCTGTACTTGGGCAATCACTGTCTCACACTGTTGGCTCCCTTCTTGACACATGCTTACTGTCACTGAGCCATCTCACAGAGTGTCCTATGGCCTACTCACTCATAAAATGAAGGGACAGACAGTCCTAGTTAATAGCTTTCCAGGTTCCCAAAGGAAAACTTCTCCGTGTGCTGGAATACAACTGAGTAACTAGGTGGGGTCTACCATGGAGTAAGCTTGCTGGTAGCTTGAAATCCTTTTATTTTGTTGTTACATGCTTAAGAAGAACATACTAGAGTCCACCTGAGCCAACAAATTTTGAACTGTAGTTCCCTGTAGAATCCACACTGTCAAGATCCTGCAGGGAGACTGTGACAGGATGGAAAGTTGTAGTTCAAGAGCCTTAAATAGCATAAATTTTCCCTGGTCCTCTCAGTACCTGGTTTTTAGCAACGTCTGCATCTCAGCTAATATCCTTGTGACAATCAGAAAAGCCTGTGGAAAATGTAGTTACATTTTCACACAGCCACCTTCCACGAACCCTAAACCTAAGAGTTTTAGAACATCTGAAATGTATGGAAGAGATTTCTGGCCAGGCTGTTGTGGCCTACATCTTTAATACAAGCCTGCCGAGGCAGGCTGATCTCTGTCATAAATTAATGAATTTACCAAGTATACTGGTGGGACCATCAGGCAGATGGGACACAGCAGAACACAGAACTCTCTCTCTCTCTCTCTCTCTCTCTCTCTCTCTCTCTCTCTCTCTCTCTCTCTCTCTCTCTCAGATTTGAGACAGAGCTTCTC